TTTATAAGATCGTCAACTGAGCTAAGCTTATCTAAGCTTTTTAATGCTACTTTCTTATTGTGACGTCTAACCCATTTCTTATTGAGAACATCCCATTTTTCAATTTCACCATCTTCCCATGTCGCAGAATACACAGTGCCATATCCTCCTTTGGCGATATATTTGACATCTTGAAAATGTGTATACGGTATCCATTCTAATACCGTGTCAGAATACTCAGCTTGAAGCTGAGATTTTTGAATAAATTCGTCAATTTTTTTATCTCCACTTGTCCATTTATCAAAATCTTGTTGAAAGTGAATTCCATTACATGACATGCACCATTTAAATGACCATTCTTGATTACATTCGGGACAATATTCAGAATACGATTGCATGTTTGATCTCTTTAAACTTAAATTTTCCTACTACAGTAAATACTGTACTATGTGCATTGCAGAACGTTACACGGACAAAATATGATTGTGCGATACGGTATATTTTTACAAACATTAATTATTTGCCCATGGATACTGTACTTTAACGAAAAATTTCATTTACTATTAAGCAAATTTTATTTTATAGAATTGAATTGGTGAATAAAATTTATTGCTGAAGCAAAGCGTAGGACTTAAAGGAAGATAACGAGCAGAAAAGTGATTATTTTTGCATGTCGGATGATTTTTATATAAAAAATCAAAAATTAGTTTAATAGATTTATAAAAAATATATGAATAAATAATATAAATGAATAATATTTTATTTTTTTAAACTATAATATTTTGAAGCATATAGTTAATTTGAAATTACCATGTGTATTAATTAAGCATATTAATAAAAATATTGTATTAAAATCAATTTTTAAAAAAACTTATTAAATTTATAAGTTTAAAATTTTAAATTAAAACAATAAAGATATAGGATATTTCAAAATTTTTTGAAAAAATTTTTTAAATTGAAACGTAAATAATTAAAGAATATATAATATAAATATATTTTAAACCATATAAATATAAATATAAATAAATGTTTTAATAAATTTTACTTATATTGTTTTAAACTTTTAATATATTTTTTTGTAATTTTAAAAATTAACTTTTAGCTTATAGAATTATTCAATATATATATATATACTGTATATATATTATTAGAATTATTTAAATGAATAAATATACTGTATATATTTGGTAAATAAATATCATTTTTTTAATTTATATATTACAAGATATATATGTAATATAAAAGAAATAATAGTTATTATATATTAGTATGATAAGTTAAATATTAGCTTGCCTATAATAATTATATAATAATTATATAATTAATATTAAAAAAAAAATTTTTTTTTTAAATATATTCTATTAGACAATATCAAGCAATTATAAATATCTATTTAATATTTAAAAAAATAAAATTGAATAATATTAATATTAAATTGAAAATATATTTAAAAAATTTATATTTACCTTGAATAAATGAATTAATGATTATAGAAAATAAGTCAACAAGAATTTTTTCTTGAGAAATGCTAATAAATAAAGCTTCAATAAATAAAGTAATGTTTTTTTTGTTTTGAAAAATATAATATTTAATGTTAAAGTATATTATTATTATTATTTTAATCTACAGCATAAACTTATTTTACTATAATTTGTTTTGTTATAATTGCTTTTACATGCATAATAAATGCCATATAAAATTTTTAAACTTAATACTTATTTCCTTGGAATGTAAGTTTTAGTGATTCTGGCCAGCATGCCTAAGTTATATTGAGAGTTATTAAATAATATGTGTATAAGGTTTGTTTAAAATATGCGAGCTCCTATTTTTCTGTAACTGTTCGTGTTGTGTTTCGGTGGTTCGAATTTGTTTTTCAGATATATTTTTACTATACTGTATACAGTATATCGTTTTCAATATTTCGATTAATAAATTAAATATTAAATAATATATCCATTTAAATAATAATAATAATAATAATAACTAATACCCTTGGTTAACTAATTTTTATTATTTTATTCATTAAATTAAATCAAAAAGTTGGTATTTTTTGAAATAATTTTTACGATTTATTATTACAAACTATGAAAGGTTAATTTAGACTTTTGAATTATTCAAATTTTGATTAATATTTTAAAAAAATTTTTTTTATTTAAGTATACACTGTATATTTTTAATCAATGATTTATAGGAATATGTCAAACATTTTTATTTTGGTCGATTAGTTTACGAGTAGGCGTTACGTCGAATAACACGCCTGGTTTGATTTCTAAAACTTTGAAGAATACACAAGACGTAATGAATATCTTATACATAGTATGTATAGAAACAATAATTATTGTGACATTTATCGCATTGCATTATGATTTGGTATTGACGCGAGAAATCAAATTCTTACGAAATTATAAGAAATTACTGTGTAAAACGTTTATAACGTACAGTAATGCATAGGTAATTATATGACTAATTTGGTTTACAAAAGTTTTACGTTGATGCTTATTTGTAAGAACATACTGTAATAGTCCAGGATCGCTGAATAGAATTTTTTTTCGTCCAAGAATTTAATTACTGATCATCAATATGAAAAAAAAATCGTATCCTTTTGAAAATACTAACCCGAAATATGACATCTTATTATTAAAACGTCCTTTTTGGAAGTGAGCCGTGGTTTCTGGGGACGATCAAACATGTGTTCATATAAAATAATTGGTAATCGAAGAAATTAGAATCGCACCACAAAAAAGAATAGCATGATTTTACATTTTATATAAGCATTAAGACTTTGTATGCGTATTTTGAATTGAGGTTTTGTGGTTTTTTTTTTATTTTATTTCTATCCATTCCTTTTTTTTTTTTAATTACATTTATCAAGTCGAAATTTAGAGTTGAGCTCTTGAGAAAAGAAAAAAAATATATATTCATCATAATAAATAGAAAACGGGCATGCTATAAAATAGTAATAAAAAGAAACAGAAGCCCGCAACTATGAATCATTGGAGTACGTTCGTGGTAACGGTGGTGTTTTTCGCCATAGTGATGGCGAATATTGACGGATTGGTGTATAACGTTTGTACGAGTGGTAAGGAACTTTGTAGAGTGAAGAGGATTTTATGAATAATGACCGAAGAAATTCGTGTGATAACAAAATTTACACGGTTATTTGTAAGATCTAACCGATGTTTCTTATTATCCAAAATAAAAGACGGTCCCCATGGTATAAATTCTCTCCTTTCACAGAATCTCTCATACACTGGCGTTAGCATAAAAATCCTAAACATCAACCCATCGGGCAGTCTCGACATCCAAGTTTCATCTAAAAAGAAAATCAAAGATATCGTATTGTGGGCAGAATATAGGGGAAAGTCCAAGAAGGAACAACACATTGGTACGTTCAGGTCGATCGTTGGGCATGCTTACATAGAAGGATGTGATGGGCCATTCAATTCAACGATCACTAACTATGAAGATCTTGTTAACAGTAAGTTATGAAAGGTGGATTTTCTTTTTCTTCATAATTGACAAGATCTTATGCTAAAAAAAAATACCTCTCGAATTTCCAGCCTCGCAAATAATATATGAATGGGATCCACCACCGGGGACAAAGGTAGCTCTTAAGCATGGTAAAAAGAAACCTCACCATGTACATAAACCTTTTCCCGGAGAAAAGGGTCATAGACATCATCATCATCATAAGGACAAGAAAAAGCACAAAAGACCTCATCACGGGAATTACAAAAAACACCACAAAAACAAAAAGCATCATCACCACAAATCCCATCATCATCACAAATCCCATCATACACACAAATCCCATCATCACCGTATAATCGACAAATTCACATTCAAAGGCCTGGCATTCCTCGAAGGCGAATCCGTCAAATTTCACGTGTTCACATTGGACAAACCAATATACATTCAAGGAAGGTTTTCCCCTTTGGACGTATCTCTGACAGATCCTTCCACATTGTCGGAAGGAGAAAGTACAGATACCGAGGTGTACGTTAGCTCGTTTGATAGTCAGCCAACATCAAGTTCGCAAAGCAGTAAAGTTTGGAATGGAAGAGGAATGACGGCGATAAGTTTTTTGATAGCAGGGATGCTGATCTTGTAGTTATCATGGCGACGTGACAACTGTTTCTCTTATTTTACTGTAAAAACACGACTTTCAATTATTATACTAAAGGTTCTAGGACTTGTTTGTAATTTAGATTTAGTTTGTAATAGGTTAATTCGTAGTTTAATTTAGAAAATGTTTTATGCTCTGATTTTCATCATCTCTTGTCATCTTGATCTCATTATTTGAAGCTTGTGTTACGAGTAAAAAGTCATGACCTAAAGCAACACTGCATTGGTTTGGTTAGAAAATAAAACGTTCTTGCATACATAAATGTTGTTCTTTTTTTACAAAGTTTTCTTTGATTTTATGATTCTTTTTTTTATTACATAATAAATTAATTCAGTATAATAAATAAATACAACAGTACTGCCGTACACTAACATTTTCACCTTTATCCCATTTTTCGGACCAAAACACGTGCTTTGGTTAATACATTTTTTTCATCTTCATCCTTCATGACGGCCACCACCGGAAATGCACAGATTTCAACTTCAAAATTTCCGGGCTCCCCATTCCAAATTCCTTCCATAACTTTGGTATCGACCTTTCTACCGCTTTCATAAAATTTAAACAAGGGTACTGGATCTTGTGTATTTAGTTTGAAATAAAAAACATTTAAGACTTGTTGAACCAATGAAGCTGCTTTTGATGCAAGTTTTTCGTTCTTTTCTTTTGATTCGATTGTTCGATATTTATCCATGGATACCAACAGATCCTTGACAACTTCCTGGATGAACGGATGATTCTGACTGGTGAAACCTCTATCGCATAATATTGCATAAATTTGTTGGCGTAATTTTACTGGCGAAGCACGTAAATGATAATCATCACTGCTACTTGTGGATTCGCAGAATCTTTCTAACAAATTGCACAAGTCATTTGCGCGTAATTTTATGCCAACCTCAAGCCTCTCGTCTGGTATATCAGTAAGGGTGTCTAATTTATCCTTCGAAACATTCGAATAATGAAGGTATTTTTCCGAACGTTGAGCGATGATTTCTAATATATGCCGCTGTAGAGTTGCACTCAAAACATGCTTCATCGTCTTATCGTTGATTGACGTCTTGCATTTATAACGCTCGAAAAGTTCGGAAACTGCATCTTGATGAATTTTTACTTCCTTTCCCTTGATTACTGTGAAGCTAGACAAGTCTCGTTGAAGTTTTTCAATGTCCTTGATCAGTTGCCCCGGGTTGTTTGGATCTTCGTCACACCATCCAAAATTCGCGACACCTCCGAATGCCATTTGACACTTCGCCGCCTCAAGTTTCAATCTTTCGCTTTCTCTGTGTAGAGCCATCGTGATTTCTTGTTTTCCATTGAGCCTTTTATTATATAATCTATCCAACTGACAGGTATTATGCTTTTTTGGTGTGTCACGATCTTTGGCACCGATGCATTCATAAATTTTTTTTTCAAATTCAATTTTTTCTCTAAGTGCTTGCTCCGTCTTTTCTTTGTTGGCTTTGAGGATTCTGATTTCATCGAGAAGCTCTTGGTTCTTAGACTCAAGGTCGTCAAACTTCCTTTCCAGCTCTTCCTTATTCATTTTAAGAATCATAATTTCATCAATCTTCTCTTTTTCCTGTCTTTCATAATGAGCAATTTTATCCGCGTTTGATTTGTCTTTCCAACGGGAAACGTAGATCGCATATTCGGAAAATGATCTCACTCGAGATATACACATTGAACGCAACAATTTTCTTTGGAAAGAGGTGAGACTGCTCAGGTGATCGATTAGATT